GGAAGTGGCTCAACTTCCCTTTTCCCCCGACCTTCAAGTTCCTATATGGGTCACTTTTTCTGCTTGCTTCTCCCACCTCCAAAATATAAACACAGCAGCTTTAATTCTGCCCAGCACTTTTCGTAGCAAAGCAGTCTCCCCCCAGTGCAGAAACACAGTTACAGAGCAGGACGCATACCTGGGCACCCAAATCTCACACCTGGGCACTGAAGCAGGCCCCTGGGAACAGAGGCCTGGTACTGACACACCTAAATGCTCTTGGAATACCTACAAGTAGATGCCCAACCCCACACCTAAATGTGACGCCCAGCCAACTGCTAGTGGAGAACCTACATCCAGATGCCAGACCTAGGTGGCCACATGTAGTGAGGCAGAGTGGCCTCCCTCTGGACTGGATAGCAAGGGAGTACTACACTCCCTTTGGTGAGCAAAGCCAAACCCGTCGCGGCCCCCTGGACGGAAGTACCAGGGCAGGGCCAGAAGCGTAAAAGGAAGGCTCTGCAGCTCACTTGGGCCGGAGCCAACAGATGCCTCTGCCTTGCTGCGGCACCCAGGAACGGAACCTGCACTCTGCCGCGCCCTGCCCCCAGAGGAGACGAAGGCAGACGAGGAGTTGCCAGGACTACCATTGGCTGTATACCCCAAGGAACCAAACCCCGGGGAGGTAGGAAGTAGCCCAGGGCAGCTGACGATTGGCTGGCTACAGGGCTGACCGCGTCTCAGTCGGCGTGTTGTGGCTGGATCCCCGCCGACCCAGTGGCAGAGTGGTCTCTGCCACTGCTCAGGCCCTGGGCTGAAACACGGTGGAGTAGGGCGGGCCCGTGTCCCCCTGCCACCCCAACCCCGGGGCGGCCGACTCTCCACCTTAGACCAGGAGGCCTGTGCCCTGTGAACCCCCTTGCTAGCACCCTAGAGTGTCTGCCGGGGGCACAAACCCCTTTCAGGGCCCCTAGACTGTGTGGGCGCTCCCCCTTACCGGAACCCTGAGACTGGCTGCCTAAGCTCCCAGCTGAGGCTAAAGCCTGTCCCCTGCTCTGCCCCTAAAGGGTGATGGCTAATTGACTGTGTCTGTTTGCTGGCTGCCTGAGCCCACAAGCCCAGGCTAAAGCCTACCCCCTGCTCTGCCCGGCCCCAAAGGGCTAGAGCTTATTGACTCAGCGTATCTGCTGTCTGCCTGTGCTGCCTTTCTGTCAGCCCCATTGCAGGGCTGTGAACTAGAGTCTACGCAGGCCGCTGTCCCGCCTGGGCGGGACAAAGGTCCCAAACCGTTGTTCTGTGTTTGCCTCTGTCAGATTGGCCCAGAGCTCTCTAGACTTCTTACGGCCTGACCCTGCCGGTACGACCCGAGGCCAAGGACTAAACCCCAAGACAGCGAGGCAGAGTGGCCTCCCGCCCCACTGGAGAGCAAGGGAGCACTACACCACATACAAAAATTAGGCCCAGCAAATTAAAGAAAACAAGAGCTAAAGAGTTAGCTGAAGGTGTGGAGGGACCGAGTGTGTGTGTGTGTGTGTGGGGATTCTGGGCAGTTTGTGGAACAGAAGCAGGTATCCACCGCCCAGCTGTGGGGAGAATCCTAGAGAGACTCAAGGCTGCAGCCAGCTGAGGTGGTGTGGAGGCATTAAGAGGTGGGCTTAAGACGGAAAAGGAGGAAAAGTAAATGGAGCTGCCGAGCCAGTGATGCTACCCGGGCGATGTGCTGCAATCCTTTGATCAAAGCAGCTTTCCCCTCCACGCACCATTTTAATGTGCCTTGGAGACAAAGGGTTAATGCAGACCCTTATTTTCAGGTTATTTTTCCAAGAGAATCCCAGTTTCCAGACACACAAAAGGCCTGATGGACCCCTCCCCGGCCCCAGAAGAATCTTGTCCCCAGTCAGAGGTGCTCTAGGAAGGTTATTCTACTACGGTCTAAGCAGAAGATTAAGAACCACTCTGTTCCTGGAGGGCAAGGCATCCTCCTTTTCAATCCCATACTGGCTCTTCCTTAAACTGTCTGCACCCCAACAGCTTGTAAGGGAGAAGGGGTTCACATCTGGGCTATAATGAACTCCCTTTCTTTGAGAAGAACCTCCGGCCTGTTCCTAATATGACCCAGTGCTTTGAGGACTGTACTGGGAGCCAAGACTCCTGGTTCTACCCCGTCTCTGCCACTGACTTCTTGGGTGACCTTGAGCCAGTCACTAGGGCTGGGTTTTAAAAGACACTCTAGGAAGTTAGGTCCCCACGTCCCATTGAAGGGTAATGGGGTTTAGAGGCCTAACTTTCCAAAACATCTGTGTGCTTCAGCTACACAGTGTGTAAATAGCCATAATGAGGCTTAATCATCTTTGCAAAGCACTTTGAGCTGTGTAGATGAAAGGCCCTACATATGGGTAAGTGCACACTGCTACTGCACCTTATAAAAACTAGAAATCTTTGGCACATGAATTTTTTGCAGCAAACGGGACACTCAGAATTCAAGTTATTCTAGGTGCAAGCAGCATCGTTTTTAAATTCAGCCATTCTCAAGACTGCTGCATTGCTCCCACTTTGCCCCTGCCACTAACGTGTAGGAAATGGAAGAGGAATGTGCAGAGACTTCCATTTGCTCTTCACTACCTACAGCAGAAATTCCATCAGTGGGTTTGCAAAAATGAAAGGGACAGATAATATCTACTGATGAAAGTGCTCATGGCTCTCCTTATCTTTAATGAAACTGGAAATGCGCCATGGTAAAAACTCCCTCTAACGCCCTGGGAGTTATGAATTAATTCAACTGAACTGCAACAAAAATATACTTCCCCAAAAAGGCCCGACTACTTTGGTGTAAAAGGAGAGTGAAATTAATATTCATTATATATATGCATACAGTATTTAAATTCATCTACCTCATCAGTCAGACTGACTTCTTACTACACTGCAGCTTCTTTAATTACATCGCTCACCAGCAAATTCAAAACATACATATATGGAAATATTTTCCTTCCAGTTTGTAATCTGTTTTATTATGGACTGCGGAGCTTAAAATGCAAAAGAAGAAGAGAAAGGAGCCGGTTTTCCAGAAACGCCCTTCTGCCTGGCTTGCACAGGCTTTACAACACTTCCACACCCAGCTGCTTTCCAACGAGCTCCTGAACTCAATCCACTGAGCCTGAGCAGTGAGCTAGAGGATCTCCGCTGATCATGCCAGCACTGCATGAGTGGGCACGCAGCACTAGGCTCACTGTGGGAAGGATTTTCCGTGCTGAGGGAGGGGAGTCGCTAGAGAGTTGTGAGCTATGACAGACATAAGCATCTGTATTAGTGACTTCCCTGGCAGCCTGCTCTACTGTCACTCAGCCGCTCGTTTTCAACAGGCTTCTTACTGGGCCCAGGAAGCTTGTGAGCACTTCCATCGCTCAAGACAGGACAGTCATGGACAACGATCAGCCACTCCATGGAGGGGGTCACTATGCAGGCATAACATCTACGCATCTCACTGGTGACCTTCCCAGCCCTGGGTGAAATTCAATGTCCTAGGGATCATCTTTAAAGCCCAGCATGTCTGGGACCTGGTTATTAAAGAGAGTGTCTGCGTCTGTTGCAACAGCCAAGAGCTTTTCAGTGGTAGTAGTGAACACTTGATACTAGAGTTGGTCAAAAAACGGATTTTCTTTCCCCATGACAAATTTAGAGATTTTGAAAACAAAATTCATCCTGGATCAGGATGAAAAGACAAAATTTCTAGTTACTTTAGACTACTAATAGCCTCTCATTAGAAAAAGAAAATCAGATCTGATGACTATATTCCTGTATAATGTCTCTTTAAACAAAAACTGGTGTAAGGATTATTGTTTTGTTTCAGATATTTACATGGCAAGGACTTGTAAACCTGTTAGTACTTCCTAAATAAACAGTCACATCTATTTTTTTCACAAAACAAATTTGCAATTTTGTTTGTTTGTTTGGGATCAACTGACATGTTGTTTTGATTCTGACCATTTAAATCAGACATATAGATATACATAAATAAAGTCAACTTCAAAATAAAAATAAAAAAATCTTCGTTCTGAAAATGTCAACATGGGACACTGACATTTTTGAATTTTTTCCTCTAAACAAAATTTTGTTAAAATCTATAGAATTTTGCAAAACAATTTTTTTTTTCCAAAATAACATTTTCAGACAGAAAACTGTTTCCACCAGCTCCACTCGCTACTCGGATTGCCCATGAACTCCAGATCATGCTACATTTTTGTGCAGTTAGACTTTTGCCCTGACTGTACCTTGTCGCTTGTGCCTGGTTCTTTCTTTGATTGGAGAGTTTAGGCCCAGTAAGCATTTAGGAGGGACACGCTAAACTCAAATCTGAGCTCTGTAGTTTTTGCTGGACATTGTACTAAGCCCCAAGGGTGAAAATTCTGGTTCCATTAAAGTTAATGGTAAAAATCCCCTGCTCAGTCTGCTATGTCTCTCTGGGTTTTGGAAAGGAGGAGGGTTTTGATTGGTAGCTTGACTTCAATAATTCCGGGATATCACCCTATGTGCTTCTGACATAGATGCTCACTAAGATAGTAAATGAAAAAGGTCAAAGTACATTTTGAGTGTATGCAATGTAATCAATGCACCCTTTCACTTATGTCTCTCTACTGATCCCCTTGCTTACACTGTCACTCATCAGTGTGCTATCTCAACCCCTCTCTCTTTAAGCAGACAGACTCTTTGGGGACTCTCTCTTTTGTTGTACTGTACAGCACCAAGCATGTTGGCAATGCTAAACAAATACTAGAACATGGATGTTCTTGCAGATTGTACATGCATGTTAAAAGGAGGCCTGCTGAAAATCTCCCCCCTAAAATACAACACATTATTTTACAAAGCCAACTTTCACTGGAAAATAGATCCCAACCCACAACAGCAGCATTATATATTGCTCTACACTAGACAGTATATGCTATAATTTCACAAGGGAGGCAGAAGAGCGTAGCTGAACTGCACACATGACACAGACTTTAGATGGAATTTAAAAGACAACTCACCTTACTAGCGCCTGGGAGCAAGTGCAATTTGACATATGGATCAGCCAAACCATTATGATCCATTGGCTTCAGGCCCTGAAGAGGAGATAAAAAAAAAGCAGGAAAGGTTACAACACAGGCCAGCTCTTTACTATTCAGACTGAGCAGCCGCTCGATGTGACTTAGAATCCATTTTCTACCTCAACAAATATACCCGCCTAACAATTATGTCATTTCCCCAGAACTGGTCGATGGAAAATGTATCAATGCCATGGAACCCAAGCTGTGCAGCAAAAAGCCAGACACTCGGAAGTCAAATGCAGGGTGCAATTCTGACCAAGAAAGAGCCTGTGGAAGACTTCACTCCCAGTACTTAGCATTAGTGGTATTGCATCTCTGCTGTTACTTTAGCAGCCAATCCTGGCACCCAAATCACAATTAATTCAAGAGTTAAGTAACTCAGCTCAGCAATTTTGGAGGTATAAAATTACAGGGTTCTGCCATTCCATAATTGCTTATGTGCAAACACACCTCTGCTGTTGTGGCAGTACTTCAGTGCACACCATGAGGGGCTGATGGCACCTATCTAATCCCCGTGATTAATGCACGGTGTGAGGAAAGAACAGCCTTCAAACAAGCAGGAAGCTGCTTTCAGCCGCCTGACGCTTTATTTGCGGAGAGACTCCTGAGGCAAGAGAGTATGTACATAATGAACCTCTCACAACCCTTCATCGATTATAAGGCTAGAGGGGACCGTTGTGATCACAAAAGCCAGGTCTACACTACAAATTTGGGTTGATGCAAGTGATGTTGGCATGAAGCCGCCAGTTAGCACATCGCTTCTGCGCATGCATGCTTGGCTACACACCGCACCGATGCAAGGACTCACCAGGAGTGCTCGTGTCAATGCACAGTGCTGTGCACTATGGGCAGGTGTCCCACTGTGTAACCACCACCATCCAGTGCACTGTCTTTTGGGAAGTTCTGGCAATGCACGGTGGGGCAGAAACAAATTGCTCAGGCCACTTTGACAGCACAGAGGAAAGATTCAACTATGTGCTCAGCAGGTGAGGAATGACACTTTTGGAAGACTGAAGGGACACTGGGATTATTACTCACCAGGCTGGATCTCACTGAAAAAACATCCCAATGGTTATAGCTGCCTGCTGTGTCCTGCATAACATCTGTGAAGCAAGGTGGGGAGACGCTGCCACTGGGGTGGAGGACAAGCGATTGTCTGCTGAGTTTGAACAGCTAGACACAAGGGCTATGAATAGAGCTCAGCACGGAGCTAGAGAGCTCAGGGAGGCTTTGAAAGAACACGGGACAGTGAGCCACAGTAATGCATTGTGGTGTACTGTGCTCTACCCGGCCCTGCTGTTCTGGGGCCTGTAAGGAATTGTGTGGTGCTTGGTGTACATCTGTGAATATAACACTGTCAGTGCTCTTGTTAATTTTGCGGTGCTTGCTGTACATTGATGATGATTACACTGTGTTTGTCACCGATCCTGTGAGTTGTGTCACACTGTACAGTAACAAATAAGTGGGTGCTTTCAGAACTGCCAGGCACTCCGCAGCATATGTTGAGAGCTAATAAAGACGACTTATTTTCTAAATAATAGAATTTTATTCAGTAACAAAACCATCACAAAGAAAAATCTGTGCAATTTAAAGGTAAATACATTAAAAACTTAGTAAATTAATGGAAGAGAACTTAACAAGGGGAAAGAACATTCCTGTCCATTTTACCTACACATCTAGCAACCGTGCGTCTCACAGGTCTGTGTATGCGAAGCAGTGGTTGACCTTAACGTCCCCTCGGGTGGAGTGGGACGGGCAGAGATGTGGCCCCTGATGCCATGTGGAATGTTGAAGGGGGTGTTGAGAGGTGCTACAATGGAGTTCTCCATGGACTGCAAAGGGCGGTGCACCCACAATAGCTGAACCTGCAGGTCCACAAGAGTCTGCCGCATCTGTGTTTGCTGCTGGAGAAGCCCTATTATGTCCTGGTGAATCTCCCTCTCCTTTTCCTGCCAGGACTTCCTCCTATCTGCTCTCTCCTTCTCCTGGCTGTCTGCAATGTTCACCCTTCAGGCCCTTTGCTCATGGTCACACCATGCACTGCAGCCGCTGAAGATCACAGGCACCAATCGGCCTCCCTTCAGCCCCTGTGCCAACAGAGGGATGAACAAAGCCCATTATCTCTGACCAGGAGAGAGCATGGGTGCATTCTCCCACCCTCCCCGGAAGCCTCACTAGTCCTGACATCAGCAACGCAGCTACCCATGCAGGTTACCTAAGTCCTTCCCTGATACCGTGTCCCCTTCCGGGCCTTATAAACCATCCCCGTCCATTCCAGGGAGCTTCCCCTCCTGAGCTGGAATGGCACCATGGAAGCACCACTCTCTCAGGCTACTCTCTTATTTGGTTTCCCTACTTTGCTCACTTGCCCCAGGCAGGCTCCTTGCTGGGTTGTGCAGTCCAGATGGTCCTGTACTCCCAAAAGCCACCTGAGCATCCAAACAACTGCAGAACAGCAAAGGTCAGCAGTGACCTTTGGAAGTGCAGAGCAAACAGATCATGAACACAAGGCGAAACCCCCAACCACCTGCCATACTGCAAACCCCATGGACCCTGTAACAGGCATTTGCTGGAAAGCTGAATATGGGGTGGGGGCTAGAGCTGGGCGGATGCTGCCAACAGCACTAGGGACCATCGTAGCATGGTGAGTCCTTCTTCATTACTTTTCACGATTGTTGGAGCGCATGGCTTCTGCCCACACACTAACAGCTTAGGAGGAACTATTTGATACCTGCACACAGCTCAGGGTATTCACCAGTTCACTCTCCTCCCATCACCCAGTCAGGGAGCAGAAACCATACCATGTGACCCAGTAACCCATCACACCCCCTGCATGACAAAGTATGTATTGTCCAAGATTAATCAGAGCAAACAACTGCCAGACAACCCATTGGCAGAAACATATTCACATAAACTGCTGGTCAAGTGATTGCACACAATGAATAGGTTTGTAGAGATCAAAGCCTGCTTGTGGATAACTCAAAGCGGAAACATGGAGCTAAATAATTGGGATACAATAGCCACAATGAATAATCCACCCAGTCCACCACATTGTGCATGACCTGGGGGGGGGTCTTTATTCTCACATATCCTGGATTTGCAGAGCAAGAGTTCTGGCTGTCTCTGGTTTGAGGGTTTTTGCAAGGAGTATGATGCTTCTTATGAGTTTGATGCGTGCAGACCTCTCTCCATCAGAGAGAAACATCAGTGTTCTGCCCTACAGGGAGTGAGTCGAAACAGCATTCTGGTCTGCAGAAAAGTGAATTTTTCTTCTAAATCACAGCCATATAACCGCCAATTGAAGGGATGAAAATATCAGTGGTGAATGCAGGCTAAACGGATTTGCTTTAACAATGTTGCATTTCAATTAATCTCCTGGACCCAGCAAGTAAGGAACAAAATAAAAGAGAACCACTGAAGAAAGGCGATTACATTAGTTATGGAGCCAAAGCCTGATAGGCTTCCCAGCTGTGGAGCTAGGCACACAATGCACCGCAGAACGGCAGATCTCCTCTCTTGTAAAACCTGGGGCCAGATCTTCAGCTAGTACAAACTGGTTTAGCATCAGTGGCTCTATGCCAAATTACATCCGTCAACGATCTGACCCTACGGATTCAAGAAGAAAATAACAGGGGGCAGCATGGTCTAGTTGGTAGGGCACTGGCTTGGGAATTAGGAGAGCTGGGTTTTCTTCCCCTCGGTTTCCTCTCTCACCCTTTGTCTGTCTGGTCTATTCAGAGAGTGTAAGCACTTTGGGGAAAGGAATGTCTCTTTGTATAGCTTTGTCTACACACAAACTTGCATCAGTTTAATTTTGGCTTAAGAGTGGCCTACTTTGGTTTAGTTTAAACTTGTTCTCTGTCAACTTAAAGAAAAGTCAATTGGGAACAGGTTTCAAGTTAAACTGAGAAAAGCCACTCAAACCAAAATAAGAGCATCCACACAGAGGGTTGAACCCATTTAACTAAAATAGGTTTAAATTCACATCTTCGTTTATACCACTGCAACAACTTTCCTGTGTAGACAAGCTGTGTGTGTTTGTGCAGCGCCTAGCACAACGGTGCCTCAGTCTCAGTTGCTAATAATAAAGGACAGGATGGGAGAGACCAAGCTGGAGTGGGATATGATAGGGAGTCTCCAATCTCTGACAGCACGCATTACTGGTTCACCGAAGAAGAGCTCTGTGTAGCTTGAAAGCTTGTCTCTTTCACCAACAGAAGTTGGTCCAATAAAAGATATTACCTCTCCCACTTTGTCACCATTCCACCTGTCAAATGTGAACTCAGCAGAGAAGACGACGCCATAATCCACCTCGTAAACCAAACTCACCGTTTTCTTCAGCCTCTGACATTTCATTACCAAGCAAATCCATGGGGTTATAATTAGGGAGGTATAGAAGACTGTTTATTCCAAGCAGATGGCTGCAAGAGAGACCCTGAGCCAGCACTGATCTTTATTGATAACACACTGTAGCAGACAAGATTCAGAGCTGGGGATGGGGGGCAGAAGCATTCTCCCTGCAGTATTTATTCACTGACAGAGTAAAGCTTGGGGGGGAACTAGAGAGCAACCAGTGATGCTTGTGATGCGTGAGAGCTCAAACCCACAAAGCTGTTACCGTTACACCTAAAGGCCGCAGGACTAGACACCTTTTGCAAACGATGCAATGACCCAATTTTATGAATATTTTATTAATATGAATCACCTCATTTGCATTAACCCAACCTACCGTTAAATCCATCAATTCCCATTCTCTTCCCCATCAAATTCAAAAATCCTCCTTCTGAAACCCATAATTCCCCCCCGCCCCCCCAGCTCGGTTGCTCTCTGTCAGGAGATGGAAGCAGCAGCAGTAAATATTTATTTTGCGGGAGCTTCCCAACACTCCAGTTGGGATCGGGGCCCATGGCACAGGGCCTGCACCAACACAGATGTGAGACAATCTCAGTCCTGAAGGATTTGCAATATAAAGCCTAGAAGCAGCTGCTCAGGAGCACAGAAAAGGGAATCCAAAT